CTCTACCAGCTTCTCAGTTGCCTGCTCCACTTTTTTCTCCGTCTCTGCCAGCTGGCGCTGCTGCGAGGCGAAGTTTTGGTTTAGTGTGGCTAGTTGCTGGTTAATACCACCGAGCTGCTCCAATTCTGGTTTCAGCATATCCGCTAACGTCTTCATGACATCTGTTCCCTCTCCTCTTCCAATCTTGGACTTTGGCTCCCTTTCGGTTTTATTTTCCCTCGTGGAACCGCCATGTTCTCTCTTTGTTTACAATTCAACACCTCTGTTTCAGAGCTCGAAAGACTTGTCGTTTCCCTCTCCAGACTCAAGTAAGTCTCTCAAAATGTAACGCTGTTTCTCTTCCCTCTCCCCCCTTCCCTTCTTTGATCTATTTCGTTTATCTCACACTCACGTTCATTGTTGGTCGTTTCTGACCCCGCTCTCTTCCATCACTATTCCGCTTGATCTCCAGCGCTTGTCCCGGTCAGATTGGCTTACACCCATAGGTCACCCATCGGCTGGACCATCAGGGCGGAGGGAAGCCTCTATTCCACAGCTTCAAGCCGTCGAAGAGGCTAACCCTTGAAAGCCCTCTGGCTTGGAACCCACCACAAGGGTTCCGTGGGAGTGTCACTTGAGGTGGCACCCCTCCAAGCCGAAGGTGTGCTAGTTGCCTCCTCGAACTTCGAGGAGAGTGACTGCCATCGCCGATCCACCCACCGGAACAGCAGTGGGGCCTATTTTTGTGATTGGTTGATGTTTCTCTTGAAAGTGGGACAAGATCTCTACTTCAGATCTCTGCCCCTTGCTTACGCACACTGCTAATTGCTGTCAATCCACTTCTGAGTACAGTTCTGATAGAAGATGGTGTCAATTAGACCCTGGGTCTTCAAGGTTTTTTTAAATTCATTGCTGATGGAATTGCTGAAGACTATAAGCTCAATATACCATACCAAATTCTAGAAATCAATATATTTTCTTAGGCTAAGGCTGATGTCTGAATTCCATTGATGTCAATAACTAAATGCCAATACTTTTGTATTGTTTTCAAATGAATGCATTGTTGCTGAAATAGTAAACTGAAACACAGTTATGGTACCCCAAAAGATTAGTGAAGAACTGGATCTCTGTACTTTTTCCCTTAGAGTTGTAATTCTGATTGGACAAAGTCAGTGCAAGCTTTGGCTTTCACTGTCAGTGAAATATCAGTGGGCTGTGAATCAGTGAGCTACAGTATCCCTGGCTTCAATAAAACCTTCCGCTTCCTTGTGTCTGAATGATCCTGGAACGTTAGTTGCATAGTAAGAGGAACATGTGTGTATTGCTGGAGGGAAAGAAAGCAATAAACTGCAACGAAACAATGAGCAATTCCCCCCCCCCCAAATGTCTGACTGGGCCTCCTGGGGGAGAACAGTTCTACTATCTTGGCTATAATAGTGGGATCTGTGCCATGGGTTAAGAAAGCTTGTCTAAGAAAACAGGACTTGGAATTTTAACATATTTTGGAGTAAATTTGTGAAAAATTAAGGTTATACTCCAGGCAGGCTGCTGAAATCCCACCAATACCTTTGGATGTCAGCAGCCTAATTCCGGGCAGGATTAGTAAAAAAGAGCAAGAGTGCAGTAGCACCTTAAAGACTAACATAATTTATGGCAGGGAATGAGCTTTCCTGAGTTACTGCTCATTTCTCCATACCTTGGCACAAATTCGGTTAGTCCTTAAGGTGCTACTGGACTCTTGCTCTTTTCTGCTCCTACAGACAGACTAACAGGACTACCCATCTTCATCTGTGCAGGATGGCAGCCCAAAACTCCTTTTGGAAAAAGGTCAGCTGATGTTCTTGCTTGCTTGGAGGCCTTTCTCTGAAAATGGTGTCAGTGTGGGGAGGAATTTCTTCTCTTCCCTTTGGAAATGGGCACAAGACATGCTCCTGGGAATTCTTTTTGACCACATAGGAAAGCATGTTTATGCCTCTCACAGAGTGAGGCTCTTCCAAACTGGCCGACATTTGGCGGGCAGCAAGGCTTTCAATGATGTCAAGGTTGACACAGCTTGCTTTATTTATGATTATTATTTTATTTATTAAAACATTCATACCCTGCCTTTTCTGGTCATTGAAGGTGGCTCACAATAATAAATGTGCCTGGTCTCTAAAGTTTCATGGCACAGGATAAACTTGCTCAGACGATTCCTGCTCCCTCTTGAGCAAGTCAGCTTCTCCCACCTGTTGTTTATCTTTATAAGTACACTCATTTCTAACTTTTGGCCTTTATCCACATTTGAAAGGATTCTTTAAAATGGGGAGGGTTTCTAAATGTAGCATTTTTCTAGAATGTATGGAAAAGTGGATTAGAGAGAGGCAAAACTCTTAACGCAGCTCATTGCAAATCCTAGCGGAGTGGAGATGTTGGAGTTCTTCCATAATGTGCATAACAGAGAGTAACTTGAGTCTCAATTTTAAGATATAATCAATAGTCGCCATCAGTTTTTTTTAAAAAAAGAATAAGTAGCCCCACAGAGACAAAGCTAAATATGTCAAACAGACCAATATAAACACAAGCGTTGGAGGGCTTGTATTGATATAGGTATCTCTTAGAGACTGGCATGTTCTCAGATATGGACTTTGGTGTGTATCTTTGGGTGTCTGATCTACTTCTAAAGAGGTCTTTTTTCGTTTCATTTCATGGAACAACTCATAGCAAATATTTTCTGAAGCAGCCGGCTTGGTTGTTGGAATGAACTGATATGTAGAATTGTCTTTAAAAATTAAGTCCTTGATGAAAAGTGCCTCAGAATTATGATTGTAAAACTTGCTAGCTTTCAGAGCCTTGGGGAGAACCTTGTGAAGTTAACCTTCAAAAATAGTTTCACCCTTATTCCTTGGGAATCCCTGCTGTGAAAGGGAGTGAGGATTGGGACCATAATGTTGGTTCCCTTTCTTGAAGAACTGGAAATGTGAGTTTCCAGGAGACCAGAAGCAGACTTTGACTTTGGTAAAATGTATTCCAGCTGTTAATGTGGTGCTCTCTTTTTCCTGTCAAGTGAAGTTTGTCTAGCTGAATTCTATCTGGGTAAAGTGGGATGAGGTAATATATTAACAAATGAATTTTCTTTCAAGCTATCCCACGAGAACTCCCATAATCTGTTTGTCAAAAAAACCTGCCATGAAAAACTACTTAAAAATTACAAATCAGTCAATCAATAAGTACAAAATATTTGACTCTTTTCATATATGGTCATTATATATGGAACACATTTTTGAGAAACCTTATCTCATTTTTCTCTGTCACTTATTTAAGAGATGACCAGGCCAGAAGCTTCTCCTGTGACAGGATCCTTCCTCATCAGATTAATTGGCATACTTCAAGATGGCAGGTTTCTTTGATCAGCTGTTATCAAAATGGATGTCCCAAACGAAAGTGTTTTGGTGCTGTTTTCCCAATCTGAGCTTTGTCTAATACCAGAAATCCGGGTGAAATATTGTCTCTTGTTTCTTTGTTGCAATTCACTTTTTAAAAGAAAGTACATGAATCATGTTTCTTTTTTAGGGGGGCTCATAATGTAAAGTATAAATCCCTATCTCTTGCCCTGTACTGAATAGTGAATCTTTTTGTTTTTCCTCGCAGGTAGCAGGGAGACTGCCTTCACTTATGCTGTCAGTGCAGCTGGAGTGGTCAATGCAATGAGCCGGGCCTGCCGAGAGGGGGAGCTCTCTTCCTGTGGTTGCAGCAGGGCTGCCCGACCAAAAGAATTACCTCGGGACTGGCTGTGGGGTGGCTGTGGGGACAACATTGAGTATGGCTATCGCTTTGCCAAGGAATTTGTGGACGCCCGCGAGCGAGAGAGAATATATCAGAAAGGATCTTATGAGAGTTCTAGGATCTTGATGAATCTGCATAACAATGAGGCGGGGAGAAGAGTAAGTAGCCAAACAGAACTTTTTTCCTGCCATCTCCTCTTACCTGAGTGCCAGGAGTGTGGTTTCCAAGCACCCTTTGGTTTGTTGAATCTGTTTTCTGAAAATTGTGCCTGTCCGGTTGGCAAGACGAATTTTCACCCCAGTTACTTTCAAGTGAAACTTAATGGCTGAGCTCACTCTTGTTAACCATCTCTGATCTCTGTCATCTGGAGATTAGTTGTAATTCCGGGAGATCTCCAGGTCCTGCCTGGAGGTTGGAAACCCTATCCAAAGGACATCTTTCCCCTTCAGGATGCTCTAGTAAAACTGTTGCATGCCGAGTGAATTTTATGTAGGATAGGATTTTATGGGTTTATGTTTCCAACTGATCCAGTTGTCTTTGGAGGGGAACAATGAAGCACCATGATTCCCAGAGTGAAACCTTATTCGGGGGCGGGGGGCCCCGGGGGGCTCTATTCTCCTCCTTCCTTGTGAGGCTGTGAAAAAAAAGGGGCCCTTCACTATATTATTAGAAAACATGTTCTTCTGCGGTGGAAGTTTGGTTTTTATGGCTTTTTTAATCTTCAAAATCTTTTAAACGAAGGAGTGTAAACTTCATTTTATTGCTCTGAAGTGAAGGAGCCAAAGTCATTATTTTCCTAGAACTGACGGTGCCAGGAGTAGTCGGCTAGAGACTTTAGACTCGTGTTTCAAGGTGAATTAGGATGAAGGATAATTGAAAATTAATAGCATTTAAATGTGAGAAGAAGGCATCTGAAAGCAATGGAAAGGCTTCGGCAGAAGAAAAATGACTTTTCACAGTTGCCTTATAGCCTTCCAGTGGTTCCTCGCTCCCCCACCCCATTTGATCTCCCTTCCTGCCATGCCATTCGGCAGAGTTCGAACTCCCCTCCCCCCTTTTAATGTTGGATGGAAGTGGCATTTAGCGTCCACCTTAATGTGGACCCCAGCATATTTGGGGCTGTGTCAACATTGACTCATGTCTATTTATATGGGGTGAATTAACAAGGCCTCTTTGCCAAGGCTTTACAAAAAGGATATTGCGATGTAGGCCTGTCCTTCACCCAAAGGTATTTGGGGGAGTTTCGAGCTTAGTTGGAGTCTCTGTGCCATGCATGAAGCTTGGTGTGGAAGGGACTTCTGAACCAAGAGTGGAAAGTCTGCTGTTGGGGCTGCCTGCCTTTCTTGGAGGATGGAAGGAAAAGAAAATGTTGATTTCCAAAGCAAGCCTAGTTTTGGCAGGCCAGTAAATTGCGTGACTACTCCGGAATGATTTATTCAAAGCTTGTTAGAAAGATAAATTTTAGGGACTACTCTGGCTGGGGTCTAGGGGGTTGTATGGAGACCCATTTCTCTTTTTGGAATGTTTTACCTGTCGCTCCCCTCCCATACCACTTCTCTTTAACTGCCCTGGAGATTTTAAAGAAACCCAAACATTTCTGGAATTACATAAAATAGCAGTTCAAAAGGAGATTGGCACCAGTGCATGCTTAGTATCCCCTTCCCAGCACTCCCTTTGAACCACTGTTCTGCCTAACCCCCTCTAAGCTAAGAGTACGAGTCAATCAATATTAGATGCTTTTAACAGCCATTTATTTCAATGGAAGCAAATTTAAGTGTCTGCTTTAATCTCTTCAATTGAAATCAGTAGCATTTAAATGTGACTTGATTAGGCCCTGTTTTTTTCAAAAATTAGAGGTTAAAGAGAAGATTGGAGGGTCAAGAGGGATAATTTTGAAAGATGAAACTCTGGTGGAAAATAGTGTACACAGAAAACTACATAAGCGGTGCTGTTCTGAATCCCGGTTGACAGGCACAATTCTGCAGAAGTTAACAGAGATCGAGTCCCGTGGCACTGAATTCACTGGAATTTAGCCATGATGGATTTTTTTGCTGGATTGTATTTTTAGATTATTTTTACGCCAGTCTTTCAATAGTTCAAGAAGCGGCATTTTAAAAACGCACACATTACCATTACAAAAGAGAACCACAGAAATCACTCTAAAGCCAGCAGGCAGCTACTCCCTTTCAGTGTCCACTATTTATTACTGGCAGTATTTTCGCTTGTCAATTCAGAATGAGTTTCTCTTAAGTAGAGCCAATGGGGGATCAGTTCAGATTACATCTGAATTTGCTCATGTTAAAGTTCATTCCATTCTGAGCTCTGGGCCTAGTTGTGTGACACCCTGATAACATCAGGAATGTGGCAACGGCTAGACATCTTGTTGGTTGGGTCCCTTTCTTTCCCTCGAATTTACTTTCCATTAGCAGAAAAAGGAGGGAAAGGTGATATAAAGGGAGACCTGCTTCTTAGCTCCTCAGACACTTATGAATAGATGCTTCCTAGTGCCCAGATCTCTGGGCTAGGGCTTTGGGGGGGGGGTCTTAGTAAGGTCCAGAAATCCTAGCAAATTAGGAAACCTGTGCACTGGGGAATACCTGCTAGTAATAGGGTTGCCAGGTCTGGGTTGGAAAATACCTGGAGACTTTGGGGGTGGAGCCAGGAGAGGGTGGGGTTTGGGGAGGGGGGGCCTCAGCATGGTACAATGCCATAGCGTCCACCCTTCAAAGCAGCCATTTTTTTCCCAGGGGAGCTGATCTCTGTCAGCTGGGGATCAGTTGTAAAAGCAGGAGATCCCCAGGCCCCACCTGGAGGCTGGCAACCCTAGCTAGTAAGTACTCAGGCCCCTGACCTGAATAGCCCAGGCTAGGACTGATCTTATAGATCTTGCAAGCTAAGCAGGGTCAGCCGTTATCAGTTCTTGGATGGGAGACTACCAAGGAAGTCCATGGTTGCTATGCAGAGGCAGGCAGTGACATGCCACACTGCTTTCGCCTTGAAAACCCTACAGGGTTGCTGTAAGTTGACTGTGACTTGACAGCAAAAAAAGAAAAAGAAAAAAAGATTTAGGCTCTAATAGAAATTTAAGAAACGGTCCTGCCCATCATTGCTACTGGAAATAAAGCTTGGAGGACAGGAATGGGCTAGGGCTGTTTGGAATGAAGCCAAGCTTTATTCACGAGCTGAGCCAAAATTCAAAGGGATCTTGGCTTGGATCACAGTCCTCCCTCCCATTTCATGACTTCTTCATCATCCTTATTTATTACACGACCAACAACAACTTTAGTCTCGTCATTGGGAATATACTGTACTGATCTCCTCTTCCATACTAGAGCCAGAGACAAGATTTTGAGGTTGAGAACAAAAGATGTCTGGTGGCTCTTTGAAGATTCGCAGAGTGATTGAAGCACAAGCTTTTGTGAGCCTGCTTAATCAGGTGCCTAATTAGATGCACAGAATAGATTTTCAGTCAGCAGAATGTAGGCATAGCAAAGAGAGAGGAAAAAATGGAACGGTGGAGTTAAAATGAGGTCTGTCTCTGGTACCTTTTTAGCTTGCCCCTCCTCCAAGGAGCTCATGGCTATCCTCACATCCGTATGTTATCCTCATAACAACCCTGTGAGGTAGGTTAGGCTGAGAGACTGGACTGGACCAGAGTCACCCAGGGAGTTTCATAGCAAAGTGGGGATTTGAATACAGGTCTCAAATCTCCTAGTCTGACACTATCCTCTACATTATGCTAGATTCCTGTGCTTTGTGACACTGCTATGTAAATAAATACATGTACTACTAGAAATGCTGACCACGTTCTTCAACAGAGGAACATCAAACGAAGAATCCAGCGTGAAATCTCTGAATTAGAAATATATCGATCATATCAGCCAGGAGTTAAACAGACCTGACATTTTTTAGACAATTCCAAAAGGGTAGCTGTGTTAGTCTGTTGTAGCAAAGTGAAGCAGAAATCATGTGGAACCTTTAAGACTAACCAGGTTTATTTCAACATAAGCTTTTGTGAGTATTTTGGAATATGTCTGCATACATATGTATGTATACTTATTTGCAGGGGTCTTTTCCTAGAAAAAGAGCTGCAGGAGCTCATTAATATACGTTATGCTACTAGGCTATTAGCATAATAGCTCATTAGCATATGCAACACCCCCTGACATCACCGGAAGTGATGTCAGAAGGGGAAGCAAAAGGGGGGGAGGCATATTCAAAAGCTTCCCCTTCCCTTCCCCAGCCGGGGGGAGGGGAGCGAAGAGAGAAGGGGTTTAAAGTTTAAACCCCTCCTCACTAGAGTTGGGCCGCAGAAGGAGGAAAGAGGGAAGGAAAGAGAGAGAGAGAGTGTAGAGAGAAGGAATGAAGGAATGAAAGTAAAGAAGAAGGAAAAGAGAGGAAGGGAGGAAGAGAAGGAAAAGAGAGAAAGAAAAGGAGGGAAAGAAAAGGAAAGGTGAAGGAAAGGAGGGAAAGAAAGAGGGCAAAGAGATGGGGGGGAGGCTCTCCCACCCCCCACTCCCCCAATCAAGCCTCCACCGCCCCCCGCAGATCCCTCACTTACCCCGGGAGGCAGCGGGGGTCCCCTCTTCTGCCCTCCCATGGGCCACAGCGCTCCGGCACTGGCCCGGGGAGGCGGCAGGGGGCCTCTTCTGCCCTCCCACGGGTCACAGCGCTCTGGCACTGGCTCAGGGAGGCAGCGGGGGGCCTCTTCTGCCCTCTCATGGGCTGCAGCGCTCCAGCGCTGGACCGGGGAGGCGGTGGTGGGGCTTCTTCTGCCCTCCCACGGGCCGCAGGGCAGCAGGGGGCTGCAGCGCAGGGAGTTGGGGCGGGGCTTGCTGCCACCGCCATTTGTTTCGGTGCCTGGGCTGCCAGAGCAGCGCTCCGGCCCCAAAAGACCCCTGCTTATTTGGAGGCTAACTTTGGTTAGCCATAACTATAGCTCGCCGGATCTGAACGTCACAGTCGCCTATGTTGTTATCAGGTAGTGGAGGGTTTTCTTTGCAAAAGCTTGTCTGTTATTTTAGTGGTAGAAGCAGATCTATGTCAATTTGAGTTAGGCAGCCAGGATATACAGTAGTCCCATATGTTCATTAGAGCGTTTGTTTGTTAAGAGCTTTGGGGGCATTTCTTTCATGATGACCCAGAAACAATCAAGTTGGAAAACAGAGACCACCATTTCAATCAGTCAGCTTCCCAGTCCTATTTCACTCACTCTAGCTGTTACAGAAACACATGGAAGCTACTTTAAATTGCTTCAAGTTGTGGCCATCACCACATGGTGAGTTGCCAAATTAAAACAGCTCACCCACATGGGCTTATCAAGTTAAAATATAATATAAGGGGCTACCTGTGAGCATAGGTCCACTTTACCCTCACTTACCCTATAGCAGGGTTAGGGAAAATCCTCTGATCCTTGATGATATTAAGAACAGAGGTTGGATTTTCTTTGTGCAAAGATGTGTGTTCCGCTGTGATGTGTTCTTGCCTTCTTGTTAATCCAAATGCCTGGGGGAGGGGAGGATACAGAAAAATTGCCCAATTAATGTGGTAAGCCACTGTGTGTAAACAGCCTTCCACACAGTAGCTTATGGCACCCTCCAGTGGGGACAGTACCATCTCTGAGAACACCAGGAGCACTGCAAAATAAACATGATTCTGTTTTGAGGTATACATGACTATTATGCATACTGTCCCCATGACTGGAGAAAGTATTGCATTTTGAGTAATTGATATACTACAAGGAAGGCTTCCCCACTAATCTGGGAGATATAAGACATACATCCTTTTGTCTTGGGCATTGGCCCAGCTCTAATTTGATCTAGATCTTTTTTTTACCCAGCGTTGCACGACCAGACAGCTCTCCTTACCGCGCACGTACTCTGCAGTGGATTGTCTAGACGGCATCCACCTGAAGGAGCTGTGTGGTCAGGTTTTTTTTTTTTTAATCTGTTTGCGCATGCGCATCTGTGCCTCAACGTGTACTTGTTTTTCTGCACATGTGTGGAATTGAATAGTTAAAGCACTGCCAGTGGTACCTCCCTCTAGGTACCCTTTTATTTAATGCAGTTCATAAAATTCATGGGCCGTTCAGAAACATGAAATTGTCTGGAACGTTTGAGTGGAGCTCTGTGGCTGTCGCGCATTTACACATTTATGTGCATATTGCTTAGAATTTTTTTAAATGGCGACCGCTTGGGATGGTCTGACGTTAGACTATCCCAATGGGCTGATTGCGCGATGGAACAATTAGATGGGGAAAAGTCCATCAGTGGCTCGTCGGGAAGCAAAAACACTGGACTTTCACCAGTATCTATTAAGTACGGCTCCCTAGCACGGCAAAACAGGATGATCATGGAAGAGGCACATTTCCCAGATGTTGCTGTCTGGTCATTACCTTTAAATCCACCAGGCGTGAGTGGTGCCTGGTGCAGATCTAAAGACCTGTCTGATCGGGACCTGTTATTGACAATTCAACTGACACACAGACCATGGAGAGGTTTTTCTTTCTTCAGGGCATCCTCCATTTGTCATGTATTGGCTGAGAGCTAAAGGCAAGTGGTCCATATTTGTAAAGGAGACAAATTCCTCACAATAAGCACTACTAGGCCTGTGTTCACTTCAGAAAAGTGACCATAGTGAGACAGGGAGGGACATGCTGTAGATTGTGACAGTTTACTGTTGGGAAGGCCATAATGAAGTTGTTGTTATGCTTGAGGCACAGGACATTTTGCATCAGTCATACTGACCTTTGTTCTCTTTTTCCCTTGCCTTTAGACAGTGTATAGCTTGGCAGACGTGGCCTGTAAATGTCATGGTGTGTCTGGATCCTGCAGTTTGAAGACCTGTTGGCTACAGTTGGCGGACTTCCGCAAAGTTGGTGATGCTCTGAAGGAGAAATATGATAGCGCGGCAGCTATGAAACTCAACACCCGGGGCAAGCTGGTGCAGGTGAACAGCCGCTTCAATGCCCCAACCATCCATGATCTTGTGTACATTGATCCCAGCCCAGACTACTGCGTGCGCAATGAGAGCACTGGCTCCTTGGGCACGCAGGGCCGGCTCTGCAATAAGACTTCCGAAGGCATGGATGGCTGTGAACTCATGTGTTGTGGGCGAGGCTATGACCAGTTCAAGACAGTGCAGACAGAACGCTGCCACTGCAAGTTCCATTGGTGCTGCTATGTGAAATGCAAGAAGTGCACAGAAATTGTGGATCAGTTTGTCTGCAAATAGGTGGGGTTGAGGGGGAGGAGCTCTTCCAGTCTACCAGCAGAGGTCACTATCCTAAGATGATTTCCGCTCTTATTTATAGAGCCCAATGGGTTGCTTTCCTTGTTTATATATTAAAAAAAACATTTTTTACAAAGAGAAGTGATGGGAAATGTTACTGCACCCGGCTAAGACTGTGCATAGTTTTATATTTTTTGAAACAGTGGAGGAGAACCTGAGAGAATATTTATTTTATGCAACCAGAATTAAGACTTAAAATAAAAAATAGAGTAGTTAAAGGGAAATTCAGCCTATCTTCATATAGTCTCATGAATAACACAGTACATGTGCAGTAGATAAGGTGTTTGCTTGGGTTTGGAGCAGGCCTGTAGCTACAGTGGGGCATCTTGGGGCCCGCCCCCCGACTTACTACCAAGGCCCCCCAACTTCCCATTCAGCTCAGCCCCCCCTTCCAATTTTTTATTTTATTTTTGGTGCTCCTTTGTGGGGGTGTCTGTGCAGGGTACCCCCTGACTTATTTAAAGCCCCCCCAAATTAAAACATCCTGCCTACGGGCCTGGTTTGGAGCATGATCCATATGGACTCAGTGATATGCAGGTCTGTACATGGTGTTTCTTCTTAGTTTTAGTGACCAAAAAGAATGGGAACAGTCAAATGCAACACTGATCAGTATGTCCAAAAGGCTTAGCATGGAAGCTGCCTCAACACTGGTCATGTGACAGCAAGAAGAAAGGGATGGCATAAATTTTCGCCTGTGCTGCTAGGTAACATTGAAAGGCCCATTAATTTAACGTGGTGTTTTGCATTTAATTTTTGGTATTCCTGCGATAATGCACTGTGTGACTAGAACTGCACATGAAAGGCCTCCATGACAGTAGATTCCAGCTTGCTTGTTGGCATCTTTCACGCAATGTATTTTCTCAGGAGCTGCAGGGGACAGAAGGAAACATATTTCGGGGAATGGGATAAGACAATTCTCGCTTCCAACAACTAGCAAAACTAATGGGTGGAACATGCACCTTTGACTTTGCAGTGTAGGTCAAAGTAGACTTTGGAACATTTCTACTTGAAGTAGAATGTGTCCGTCTCTTGCACATTTAGCAAGCCATTACTGCCTTATTTTTTTAAAAAAGGAGTTAGCTGTGGAATTCTCTGCACAGTGTGGACTAGCTGACGGCACTGGAGTGGAAATGGCAGTGCTAATGTGCTTGGAAAGTCCTTTTTTACCCCCCCTCCCAAATTTTCATTTGAAAACATTTTTTTTTCCTTTTCTAAAAAAATGGTGTGAGTACTTGGATCCCTTTTGAAACAAGAGTTGAGTGACAGCCACTGTGGAACACTGGAAACATTGAGTTGATGTGATACTTGGATGTTTTCCTAAGGGGTTCAATGCAGTGTTGCAGTAATGCCTACTTTACCATCATCTGTCCTTCAAAAAAACAACCCCAACAAAAAACTGCACAGTGCTTTAGAAATATATTGCAGCTATGCACGAACTGCTCAGACTGTACTTGAGCAGTTTAGTTATATATGGGAAAACTATGGTCTGCTGGTGGCTAGTGTCTCAAACCCTTTTTATACATATATTTTGTCAGTACAAACCAATGGTTTTCTTAAAAAATATAAAACCATTCAAGTTACCAGGACAATTTTTTTTTGTTTAGACTAAGTGTATTATTGTCTTCTGCACCCATAGCCCTTTTCACAATGTAACACATCACTTAGAGAGCAATCTTAAACGGGTCGACTTAGAATTCTATTCAAGTCTGTTTGTGAGACTTGCTCCCAGTTCTTAGCACTGCGCACTGGCACTGTTAAGGGTGTTTCTTTAGCTTACATTCCAGCCTCTTTTGCAGAGTCTCCTAACACATGGATATTTAAAAGTCAGTCAGTCACAACTTCATTTCAGTTTTTGTCAGACGACCAAGAAGAGTCTAATGATCCTAGTTATTAGAGCTTCTGCTGTATACGCTTCCAGTATGAGTTGTGTACTTAGTCAGCCAGTATAGGATTCATAATGCATCCGTTTACACTGGCTAACAACCCTCCTTCTTACCTTTCCCGCGAGGGCATTATTGCTCATAATGGAAACAGATGTATGAAGGTTTCCCAGGCGAACGGTGGCCCAGTCTCCCCATCAAAGGAGAAATTTGTTTGCCTTTCCCACTTGCCACAAACTCATTGTGTGTTTTTTCTAACAGCTCTTCCCAAGCTCATTCTGCTCACTAAATGGAAGTAGGCTGGAAGGTATGTCTGGCTTCCACCTTAGAATTACCATACGAGAAGCTTTAATTTATCACAAGCCTACAAGCTGCCAAATTAATCCCGTCATGATGATCATCTTTTAAAATGATGATTGCTCTTAATTTATTGTGCAAAGAAATATTTACCACCATGGTTCCTGGTATTTGCAAACCAATGTCAATTTTTTTTTTTAAATAAAGCACTAATTCATTGAATATGTCACTTTTGGTTTTTATTATACAAAAACCATAATCCTTTAAAATACATTGAATCACCTACTCTTTATAATGGCTACTCTCTGTGAGCAGAGACAAGTCTTAATGATCCTAGCTATTAAGAATGCTATTTAATGTAAAATATTTCACTTGTGTTCATCAGATATTATGTAAATCTTCTATGTCCTCTTCTTTGTTCTGTACATTTAATGTACATATTTCCATCTTGTGTGATTTGTATATTTCACTGGTTTTTTGTTTTTTTTTATAAAAAGGCTTATGCCATAATGGAAGATAGACTATAAGAATAAAATGTTGGTTATATATTGGGGAGGTAGTTTTTAATTCTTTTAGAAGAGGGTTTTGTTAATCAGTAAATAATGCTGGTGAAAAGAAATGCTATGTGGCAAAGTAGAAGACCAGTAGCACTTACACTGATCCTTAATTTATCACCTAGAGGGCAATCCTCAGCAATTTACAGATATATACAACCTGGAGTCAGTGAAGAGTTTTGTGGAACCCTGAGGCTTCTGCTACATTGCATGAGAATTTTGAAAGCTCTCAGTCTTCAGACAGTTAACATCCCCCCCCCCCAATCTAGCTAGGGGTTATAACAGATGAGAATGCATGTGTACAAAGGGGTCCTGTATGTGCAGTTCCCCATTGCTGATTCAGTCGCTGGCACGGCCATTTTAATAACTAAAATCCTGCTGATACAGGGGGTAGAATTGACTTTGGTCCCCACGCTGTTTCCTCTTCCCTGCCAAACTGTTAATATTTTAGATCTTTTAAAAAAAGGCTTCTCAGGCACATCCCCAGCTGTTGTGGGCTACTTCTTATGTATTGTGTTTGCCACATGCTTTTAAAACAGGGAACAAAAGACATCCACAAGGATCAAAAAGTGAGGATGAATGAGTGGGAAAAGCCAATGGTTACTATTTTCCTAATTGTCAAAAAAATTTTTTAAAAGGGGTTTTAATTTAATTGTGAGGAAGAGACTGCCAAGTTAGCTTCAACCAGTATTGCTGACTGCTAAGCTGTCTGTGTTCTTAGTAGGTGGCTTGGGATCTAGTTGCTAAGGACCTATAGCTATGATTTTCAAAACTGGCAGTGTGCATTCCCTAAAACAGAGAGCAAAACAAACAAGGTTGTCCGTGACACCATCCATAGTTCCATCTGTGTGCACCATGTTTTGAACAGACTAGACAGTAGCAGATAATGTCTGCCCTTCCACTCGTGGCATTGATTTGGAATGCTGGACACCAATGAGGCAGCCTTCTGGTTTTTTTCCACTGTTTCTCTTGTTAGTGGCCACCCTTACTTTGTATTCACAGTGGGGGTGGATCAGCCACTTAAATGACAGGCAAGTTTTCTGGTGGGCTGCTGCCCTAGGAGACCACCAGTGGCCAGAGAGGAGCAGAGCCAAGCCCCAACAACTCTGCCTGAGCTACAGGAGTTGCTTTGGCCAGACCCCTCATCAGCAATAGCAGTTGGTTTCAGATCATCAGATGTCTCCTCTTGCACGGCTTCAAGTTTGGGAGATCATGGAGTGGGTGAACTAAGGCCCACTATCAACATTACTGAGCTGAGTGGCCCTGCAGTGCTGGCTTCCTCAGCTTGACTTGCTTCAGGGCCACTTTCATTTCCCAGTCTGCTCCTGATGCACAGTGCTGGAATTTTCTAAATTTATATTCTGCTTTAAGAATTTTAGTAACTCGTAGGTCAGGAATTATTACAAGTCTCATAGATTTCAAGGTAACTGCTTTAGTCTAGCAAAATCAAGCTTAGCCTCTAAAGGACTTCTCAGACTAGGCTTCTGACGTTTCTGTTAAAAGCAAGCTTTCTAATCAATATGAGCATCTAAGGGTTTAAACTGTATGGTTCACTGGGAGTTCTTTGTACAAAGCTCCAAGCATTTTTAAAAACTGGTTTACCAGGTGATTGGGACTGCAGTACAACAGGAATGGGCTTTTAAACCCTCCCCCCTGTGCCATTTTCTTGATCAAAAACTGTCCCAAGAACGCTATTCATCTTGCTGTGAAAATATTTATGTACTGTATGTGTTCTGTTCATGGAACTCTCCACGTATCATGTAGTTAAGACCTGAATTATATTCTGAAAATCAGAGCATATGATTACAGGTTAAAGATTCTTCCTGGGGAAAGTATGGCCAACACCTAGATGCAAGGACTTCACTGGACAAAAATACAATAAATTATGCAAACAGAAACTTGCTCCTACCCACACTGATTTCTTGAATGTGCCTCTGAAATCTTTGCCACATCAGCAAACCTGATAGATTAGCTGTCTTTTCAAAAAGGCTCGCCTAACCTACCGAAACTCTCTTGGGCTGCCAAGAATGTATTATGCCACAAAAACAGAAGATCAACATGTAGTGTGCTTTAAAATAGCACTTCTGGGTAAATGCAATTTCTGTGGTCCTATTACTCACATCTGGTTCCGTTTTTCTTCACTTGTATATTGACCAGTGTTCTTTATTGCAAAAACGCCGACCTCTAGTTGTATAGGTCAGCATTTCTGGGGGTACTGGAGTGTGTTCAAATTCTTCTTTCCAATAGCAGGGAAATTAACAGATTTATACACTGGAAGCAGCAGAATAGCTGTGTTACAGGCAGCAGAGCTTTAGGTTCCAGTAAAGTTTATCTGCTTTTGGTTCTTTATAGCATTACCATGACCAAATTTACTCTAATTTTTGAAACTTTGCACTAATATTTTTGTCGAGCATATTGTTTTCCAGTAATATAAAGCACAAGTCTTATCTACAAATCACTGATCCATGTGTAATAATATTGCAGATAGCCTTATGATTTCTGGAAGAAATCAAGATTATGTAATTTAAACTGATTCTTGATGGTCAGGGATAGGGTTGAATGTTTTAATGTATGGTTATCTGTCCTGAAACCCCAGGATACTTTTCCAATTAATACCCATTCTTTC